ACGATAAATGGAGAAAAGATTGAAGTTGTCAAGGATTTCATTTTACTTGGATCCACAATCAACATCCACGGAAGCAGCAGTCAAGAAATCAAACAATGTATTGCATTGAGCAAATATGCTGCAAAAGTCCTCTTTAAAGTGTTGAAAAGCAAAGATGTCACTTTGAGAACTTAAGGTGCACCTGACCCAAGCCGTGATGTTTTCAAACTGAAAACATCAGGCTACTACTTCAAACCCTGGTAGCTTATTAAATAGTAATTTCAGTATACTTGGGTATGACAGTATTCAACACCTGCTTTCATTTAGGAAAAAAAAAATCTGGAGGGATTTAAGATCTTTATTAACATCTAGAAGTTTCTTTTATGAAGTGACACAGTTGCAGCTGCGTGTAATATAACCGTATTAGAAATAGTTTAAGATTGTATTTTTTAACTTTTATCAACCATAATATGAAAATTTTAAAACAAGCAAATCAAAGGAGTAAATGTTTATATTTGTAAGCAGTAGATACAAATTCTTTTAAAATAAGTAAATAAAAAAAACTTTTTTTAACTGTCTAGAAAAACTCTTCCCCTACGTTTAAAAGAAACTACACATTGCATTAGGCAAATCTGCCACAAAAGACTTCTTTAAAGTGTTAAAAAGCAAAGATGTCACCTTGAAGACTAAGGTGTGCCTTACCCAAGCCATGGTGTTTTCAGTCACCTCATATGCATACGAAAGCTGGACGATGAATAAGGAAGACTGGAGAAAAATTGACGCCTTTGAGTTATGGTGTTGGCGTGGAATGTTGAATATACCATAGACCGCCAAAAAAACAAACAAATCTCTCTTGAAAGAAATACGGCAAGAATGCTCCTTAGAAGCAAGGATGGCGAGACTACGTCTCACATACTTCGGACATGTTGTCAGGAGGGATCAGTCCCTGGAGGACGTCATGCTTGGTAAAGTAGAGGATCAGTGAAAAAGAGGAAGACCCTCAACGAGATGGATTGACACGGTGGCTGCAACAGTAAGCCCAAGCATAACAACAGTTGTGAGTATGCTGTAGGACTGGACAGTGTTTCGTTAACGTTGTATATAGGGTCGCTGTGAGTTGGAGCCAGCTCAACGGCACCTGATAACAATGCCAGCAGTCTCGAAGCTGAATGTGAAATGATCTGTCATGTTTAGTCACCCACCTTCTGTGTGTTCCAGTGGTTTTCATCAATGATACCACTGCCCACAGTGCAGTCTGTGGTGGTAGAACCTAGCAAAAGTTTACTTGGTCCACAGTAGTTTTAAATCCATGACCATAACTTTTATTATTTTAAAAATGTAAACTTTAATCTGTTTGGTGTGGGAAAAGAAGATTAAAACTTAATCATGTAGGATTTTAAGTTCTTTCATCATTTAGTGTACAGACTGATGATACCTATGTCATTTTAAAAATTATATGTATTAGTGAAAGCAGATTTACAATGCTTAATGATGATGTGATTTGTGAAAATATTTTGGCAATCATTGCTTTAGCCTCTACTTTTAAAATGTTTTTCCAATTTATCTTTTTCTATCTTGACAGTCAGCATGCTAGTCCAACCCCTCATCATTACTTTCCTTGGTTCGAATACTGGCTCTGCTACTTACATGTTGTATATACTTGAGCAAAAAGCTTCACCTTTTCTGTATACCAGTTTCCTTATATTTAGTACTATCTGCTTCACTGAGATGTTTGAGGACTAAATCCATGTAAAAGTCTTCAGAAGAGTGATAAGAATTCAATTAGTGTTGACTGTTTTTACTAAAGTAATCCACTGATCTTCACAGAACACTGTTTTTATCCTGTCATTCATTCCCTGGTTTAGGATCATTCATTTGTTCATTAAATAATTTATTCATTTAATCAACAAATGTTCATTGATATCTACTGTGTTCCAGGCTCTTCCAGGTGGTAGATTAGCACTGAACAACATAAACAAGGTCTCTCCAGTCTCCCTCAAGGAACTTATATTTCAGTAGCTTTTTAGCATGTATCTGATTGGTTGCAGGCTCTTTGCCATTACATCTAAAACTGCCCATAAGAGTCTTCCACTTCATTTTCCAAACAACAAAGTTCAGTGAGCAACTTAAAAGAGAGTTTAAGGCAATTCTTGTATGAGCAAAAGGTTACACTTCTAAGAGATTTTTTCAACTGTTGAGATTTTTTCCTTCAGGGTAGGAGTAGAACAATACTTGTCACATGTTATAAATTATCTGTTTAATTAAGTATCTAAACCAATATAAGTCCACTGGAGAGAAATACAGTTAGGGTTTTTAGTATATAGACATAATCTACATGTCATGTTTGAGTCTTCTTTCTAAGCTGTCTGAATACATATAAATATTTCTGACAATAAAATATTTCTTTCAGTTCCTACTCATTTTTAAAAAATTTTATTGTGGTAAAATATTCGTAACAAAGCATTTGCCGTTTTAACCATTTTTAAGCATACAATTCAGGAGCATTAATTACATTAACCATATTGTGTAACCCTCTCCACTATCCGTTATCAAATGTTTTTCATCACCTTAAGCAGAAACTCAGTACCCGCCCCCCAAAAAAAAGAAAAAACACCTTATTGCCAATGAGTTGATTCCAACTCATAGCAACCCTATAGGACAGAGCAGAACTGCCCCATAGGGTTTCCAAGGAGTGGCTAGTGGATTCAAGCTGCTGACCTTTTGGTTAGCAGCCATAGCTTGCCATAGCTCTTAACCACTGCACCACCACAACTCCAGCTCCCTGCCCTCCGGCTCCTGGTAGAAACTAATAAACTTTTGTCTCTATACATTTGCCCATTCTAGGTATTTCATAGAAGTAGGATCGTATGATATTTGTCCTTTTGTGTCTGACTTACTTCACTCAGCATAATATTTACAAGGTTCATCCATGTCAAAATTTTGTTTCTCTACCTGGTTGAATAACAGAATAAGATTCTACCGTATGGATATACCACATCTTGTTTATCTGTTCTGTTGATGGACACTTGGGTTGTTTCCAGTTTTTTGGCTGTTGTGAATAACACTGCAGTGAATATTGGTGTGTAAGTATCTGAGTCCCGGTGTTCCATTCTTTTGGGTTTATACCTAGGAGCAGAATTGCTGGGTTGTATAGTAATGCTAGGAAACCCTGGTGGCATAGTAGTTAAGTGCTACAGCTGCCAACCAAAACATCGCCAGTTCAAACCCACCAGGCACTCCTTGGAAACTCTGTGGAGCAGTTCTACTCTGTCCTGTAGGGTTGCTATGAGTGGGAATTGACTGGATGGCAACGAGTTTGGTTATAGTAATTCTGTGGAGCCCTGGTTGCGTAGTGGTTAAGAGCTCAACTGCTAACCAAAAGAGTCGGTAGTTCAAATTCACCAGCTGCTCCTTGGAAACCCTGTGGGACAGTCTACTTTGTCCTATAGGGTCACTGTGAGTCAGAACCGACTCAGTGGCACCTAGCGGCAACAACAAGAACAGTGTAGTGATTCTTTGTTTAACATTTTGAGGAACTGCCAAACTTTTTCCGCAGAGGCTGCACTGTTTTACATTTCCACCAGCAATGTCTGAAGGTTCCAATTTCTCCACACCCTCACCAACACCTGTTATTTTCTGTTTTTCTGATAACAACCATCTTACTGGCTGTGAAATGATACCTCATTGTGGTTTTGATTTACATTTCCCTAATAATTAATGACTAATGTGCACCTGACCCAAACCATGGTATCTTCAGTTGCCTCATACGCATGCGAAAGCTGGATAATGAATAAGGAGTCCCAAAGAAGAATTGATGCCTTTGAATTACGGTGTTGGTGAAGAATATTGACTGTACCATGGACTGCCAGAATAACGAACAAATCTGCCTTGGAAGACGTACAGCCAGAATGTTCCTTAGAAGCGAGAATGCCGAGACTTCATCTCACTTGCTTTGGACGTTGTATCAAGAGGAACCAATCTCTAGAGAAGGACATCATGCTTGGTAAAGTAGAAGATCAACAAAAAAGAAGAAGACCCTCAAAGAGATGGAATGATACAGCGGCTCCAACAGTGGGCTCAAACACAGCAAAAATTGTGAGGATGGCACAGGACTGGGCAGTGTTTCGTGCTGTTATACATAAGGTCATTATAAGTCAGAACCAGCTCAGCAGCAACTAACAACAGCAACAGTGATTAATGATGTTGAGCATTTTTTCACGTGCTTGTTGGCCATTTGTATGTCTCCTTTGGAGAAATGTCTGTGCAACTCCTTTGCCCATGTTTTAATTGGGTTGTTTATCT